GTGCATCGAATCTTTCCGGGAAAAATCGCGAAAAATGTAATAATTGTGTTCACGGGCCGGTAATTGGGTCTCGCGAGTGAGAAGTGGAGGTGTAAATTGTGGGGAGTGTTTTTATTTCGCAGTGATTGAGCCGCCATATTTTTCCCCAAACGATCATTGGAGAATTGATCTTGGTGAAATCTAGGGGGTATCTTTGAACGTAATTTACACGCTCATTCCTCAATTTCCCACCCCTGAGACCTAATTACCGGCCCGGCAAAAATAATTATCTGTCGATTGACCCTACAATTATATTTTTTGAGGGCCTACAGGGGCTGGCATTTCGTTACCCGTAAAACGCGTTTTTTCTAGGGAATTTCCTAGGGACATGTCGGGCAAAAATCCCTCCACCCGGGCCTTAAGGTACGTATTGAGCATGAAGAATAGAGTAAGGAGGCCGAACAGTAGTGGGAGAATGTTCTAAATGTGCGACGCAGAGGGGTGAAAGAATGTAGTTCTTCTAGATATCGCCGTATAGCGCTGACGTCGCTCGGGTCTCACATACACATAATAGATGTTTCATGTATTGGTGGCTTTGTTGTGATTTGAAAATTGTATTCATGCAGCGTTATTATTGTTAAGTTGGCCGATTAGATGTTTTTTCATTCATGCTAAAATAGTTGAAAGTTATTGGTGAGAACAAAGATGAGGAGGGTGTGTGCATTTCCTGGATGTAAATCAGGAACAGCAAATGATAAAAGACACAATAAATCGGGTGGAGTGCGTAATAAAAGTTTATTTAAATTTCCACATCAGGTTTGTATTAATATTCGTTTTTCCACATGAGCTACTAGGAATTGCAGTACAGAAGAAGGCGAGGTACTACAAAATCTGTCTTGTTTTTAGAATTTTCTTTTGAGAAAAAAATGGGAAGAGGTAATCGGTCGAGTTGCTAAAAATACTGAGGTTTTGTGGGAGCTGCATTCTTCTAGAGAGGATATATTAGATAAATATGAAACTATTTTATCAAATGGAACCAAACACATCATGCAGCGTGGCACAGTGACATTGAAATCTACGGCAGTCCCTTTAGTTTCAAATCAAGATGTAAGTTTGGGGCAACCAAATATCTATTTCACTCATATGGTCGTCAATTACTCCTTCACTCTTAATTCTCCTACAGATTCCCTCCGTAGAACATACGACAAATGTTCCACTTCATGATCTCTCTAGAAACAACAGTTCACCGTCACCTCCCACAAACATTTTTGATATCTTCCCGTATTCAATGCCACCAACAACTTTGGGCATGATGGATACTATGGGCTCAACATGAAGGCAAACAGCTTAAGGAAAACGTTAAATCGCCGATGAGAATGCAAACCCCAATACACCCAAGAAACTCCAAGAATCTGTCCCCAAGAAATTGATTCATGCAATTGCCACATCACGTTTGCACATCTATTGCATTGAAACAAATCTTGTATAGTTTATATTAATTGATAAATTATAATTTAAAAAAGAGTGACTTCGTGAATCCTATAAACTGCGTACATAGGTCCCACCACCTGCTGCTATCTCCCACTCATCATCCTGCAACCGGGCGATTCAAATGCCATCTACAACATTTTACGAGTCTGGTTCGGATCGAATACCGAGGATACAGAGTTCGGCCTCCTTACTCTATTCTTCATGGTATTGAGAAATTTTTTTTCTTTTTTAGCGACTTTGCGCCCGCCCACTCTGTTGCCAAAACCGGAAGCTTGATCCCAAGAGACGTCCTGTGGGTAACTACGGCAATCACCGGAAACAAGGGCAACATCAAACAGTTGGGCTTTGAAGGGCCCTTGAAAATTTTTATTATTTTTTTTTCACTTTAAAATTCCATGGGGTTATTTCGTATGCCACTGAGTTTGAATGGGGTTTTATCACGGGACCACGGGGCGGGAAGCGCGGCGGGGGGAGAGATGTGCGCAAAAGTGCATTGCACTTTATCCCACCCTCACCAATCCCTTTTAGGATGATGTCATGCGGTCATAAAAGAAAAATCTCGGCCCCCATAGAGACATATAAATTTCTACTCCATTTTTCCAGCCTTATCACACAATTTTCAAGCCGATCAACGAGGCCAAAAAATGTCTCTTCAGATGTATATACATGGATTTAGCGGATGATTCTGAGCCAATCGGTACCAGTAATTTTCAACCCTCATTTTTTCACCCTCACTAAACCATTTCTAAGATCACCGACCAGGGGTTGATTCTGAGGCGATCACTATTGATCATTTTCAACCCCATTATTCCACCCTCACTTCTCAGTTTCCAAGATGACCGACCGGGTCATCAAGAAATGTCTCTACAGGTATCTAAATATCGAGTCAAGACATGATTCTAAGTCGTTCTGTAACTATAAATATCGATCCGATTTTTCTACCCTACGAACCTATTTCTAAGGTGGCCGACGGAGTGATAAAAAATTGTTTCTACGGGTGTATGTAGATCGGTTCAAAGGATGATTAGATGGATTCGCGAAGTCGAATGAGTGCATTAGAAAAAAATGAAGTTAGGAGGGTAGACAGAGTGCACTCGAAAAAATGGGAGTTTGACCATGGGATGAGAGCGTCAGGGTGTAGTGGGGGTCGATGGTGGGATGAGTGAGTAGGAAACAATGAGGGGTCGCGGGTAGGATGAGTGTGTCAGGGTGAAGTGGGGGCTGTTGATGGGATGAATTTACCAGGGTGAACTGGTGTTTGTTGATGATATAAGTACATGGGAGACATTGATGGATTGAGGGTGAAATGAATTTATTGGCAAAAAATAGGGGTTGAGGGTGGGATGAATGCATGGGAAAAGATCAAGGGTTATGACTTGTATTAGTGTGTCAGGGTCGAATGGAAGTTGATGGAAGGCCTTGGAGCCTTCTACGTGAACGTATGAAAAAGCTGGCTGAGAGGGAGACCCTGGTGAGGCTAAACAGGATACAACTCCGCTCTCTAGTGGGCATTATCACTGGTCAGTAGCCCCTAGCCCCATGTTTGGCAAAAATGGGCAAAAAAAGCGACCCTACCTGCCCAAAATGCGGACTAACAGAGGAGAATCCGCACCATCTAAACACTAGATGCAGTGGTCTTGATGAGATCCGCTGGGATGTCTTCAGGACCACTTGCATCAAGGTAATGTATGTTGATAAGGACGATATAGAAAGGGTCTACGGGTTTGCTCAGAGAGCCAACATATTGACACCTATGGACTAAGCGGTTGCCATGTGCAGAGTGCGAAATGGCCGAGAGGCTCATTGCGTTTCGCGAACTCATGAAGGAACGCTAAAAACCGCTAAAAGCCTAAAGCCTGACCTGCAAATAACCTGCATACAATTCACAGGGTCCAAGTAACTGATTTATTTAATTCGCTCGTCGACTTCTCGGAGATGGCAGGCCGTGTATGAGAGTGTTTGTAACAGCACACAGCGTAGCCCCCCCCCCCGCCCCATTTAGTTGCCGCCACATAATTAAAATTTTGTTTTTCAACCTGTTATGCCCCAGAATAATATTATAATCTTTAGCAATAGTGTATTTATTGAAAGTGAAGAAGTTGAATACAGCTTGCTTCACTCATTATTTTACTGAATCAGCATGGCATGTGTAACACTGCTGACCAGTGTCACAACATGACCTGCTTAATCATTCTATAAGGTGAACTTACCGATATTCGAGAGGCAGTCGTCATTTTGAGTTATACTCAATATTAAACTTGTAATTAAACTGTAAAGTACTCATATTATTCCCTTCTGGATAATTATGAGTTGGTATAATTAAATAAACCTCTTTTCCATTAAAAACTCCACCGGATTCTATTATCGTCCCACTGTAGGGAGATTTATCTCCATTCAATAAAGAACCCAGGGAGATATCCCTAACAAACCCATTTGAAGGTCCATTGTAAGTTATTGTGAGTTCATTTATTTCAATTGAAGTTAAATATCAATTTCCTTCTTATTAATTAAACGTGTAGTTAGGAAACAGTTGGTCCCTCTTTTTTGTTTTTTTCATTGTAGGGCGAAAAAAAAGTAAATAATTGGCAATTATGTAGTGATTAGTACCTGGGATTATGTTGTGCACTGTTACCGACGCTCTCATACGCGCCCTGCCAGACTCCAAGCCCGAATTAGTTCAGGCGCACTCGCTACGGGACTTTCATTCAGAAGTCTGTTCATACGCATGAGTATCTCTCCTGTAGTTTCTGGACAAAATGAGGAAAAGAGAGAGAGACAGACTTTATATTCATTTCCAACTTCGATGGACGAATCTAACGCTGAGAGAAAATAAAATTGTGGAAATATGACATTATGATAATTGCTATGGGAGGATATTTTTATTTACTGATTCGAGCGAGAAAGTAAAAATATCTTCATAAATTTCACAGTCAACTTTTACAATGTAACTAAGGACGGATTTCGCGATAAATTGTCGTGTTATAAGCAAAAAATTCAAACCCATTCGGGGAGCAGTTGTATCCGGTATATTATAGGCGACAACATCGGTCTGGGACGTCCACTTGGCCGATACGCTGTCGCATATCTTGATTAACTCCGACAAAAAGATGGGTGCTACAAAAGCCGTACTCAGAGAAAGGAGAATAGCAGACCCCCGCAACAAAAAAGAGAGAAGGTAACGTAAAATGAGGACCAAGCTGAAATAGCCACCAAGTGACGAAAATAGAGAAATCCCGTATATCTGTGATAGGCTACGCATCGAAATCGCCCTTTGGTTTCCAATCTTATGGCGTGGTATCATCAACAGGTGCCACATTACATTATATTCAGTGATGACTACCAATTAACTCTTATGTACCAGTTCCATCGGTTCGGTCATTTTGTACCAGTTTGACAGTTCAGCTTTTCCGAGTTTGAGTTCAGTCTTGTCTGTCGAATCAATGCACCTGTCTCCAAATTCCGACCACAAGCGCAGTCTTGCCTACTAAATCAGTGTCGTCATGGCTTGAAGCGATGTAAAATAAGTATTAAAAAAAAGAAAAAAATTTGGGTTTTCACAGGTACTGTTTATACATGGTATTATGAAGTGAGATTTTACACAGATTTGTATTTATTCTTTCGGACTCATATCATCATTCGGGTCAACGTTTCGAAATTCGTCGAGGATGTGATTAAGAAGCACCTTACGATACAATATTACTTTTTATTCAAGTTAAATAAATCATTAAAACATTATACACCTTCCAAAGAATCTGAAATTTGATCAGCTTTATGTTTTATTTTACGTAGTTGTATAGAGTGCAATAAAACTCAGATTATTTACACCCAAACGCCGTGTGGATTCTTACTAGTGGGTACGGCTGTTTCCAGTTGTCTAGGTGAACCAATCATCTTGCGTGTACTTCCTGGCTTTTGGGCTCCTTCTAATAAGTGCTTGATCTGTTCGTCTTGACAGGCAACAGTTAAACTCTGCAGATTTGCTTCCTTCATATCGGCAACCAATCTCTCTACTTGCATTTTTTTCTCAACAATCGCAACCTCGAGTTTAGAAACTTCCTGTTTGAGAACCTCAGCTGCTTGATTAGTATGCTCAGCTAAACGTTTAGCTTGTTCCACATCATTCTGCAGCCGTTCCATTTCATTGACGACTTTCCTCTCCATCACCATACGTTCGTCAGATTCGCGATTCATACTGTGTTGTTCTAGAGCTAATTCTTCCATTACTAGACGAATTTTGTTTTTGCATTGGAGTAATTCTGTCTCACAATTTGCTAGCTTTGAACGTAACAGAGTTATTTCGGATTTTAAAGTTTTCTCTTGCTGGCGGACTAACTCGCCTTCTTCTTCGGTATGGACCAACTCATTTATCTGCAACAAATTGATTCTAAAATTAAATAGTTATCGTTGATTCAATCTTTTAATGGGCGTTGGGAGGGTATGAGTGTACCCTAAAAATATATAACTTATTGAAAGTCGGGAAAATACCGGTGGCAACTAAGCTGAATATACTTGTAAAAATTATTTCATCTGATCAAAAAAATGTATAATTTTCCTAGTATTCTGCTATGGTCATCAGTCGCATTGACTCGGTGAAGATAGCAGTTCTCTACATCCGTGCCTAATGCTGATAGTGTCCACGCCGAGGTGTAACTAAGCAGACACCCATCTAACTACTAACCGAACTAAACGTTGCTTAGCTTGCATGGTTGCCGGTGTCACACACCACTCGCGTGGCTATTGCTGGCACTTCTCATAGAGTATTTCATTTAATTTCAACAAATTTCTTTGATACTTGTGAAAAGTAATTTTTTAATTTTTCACTAGCATATTCCCAGTTTTTACTTCTACTCAATGCATTCGTATTTCGTTATTCTAACTGAAAATTTCAAGGAGTGCAGACGGGAATAGGTAGCTTATACTACTTCCAAATTAAAAGGGAAAGCACAATAGAAATGAAATTGAGTTAAGATACAATTGAGAAATTCCTGAATACTCTGGTTCCATTGAAAATGAAAGCAAAATCTGAAATTCTTATCTCACTGCCACTGAAAACTCATGAATTTCTATCTAAAAATTAAAGGCCACGACGAGGCATTGGCTAGCTCACGCCAGACAAATTCTGTATCCAACTTTTTATTGATAGAACTGCCAAAATAAGTATCTCATTGGAAGAGATTGGAAAAACCACAACTCGACAATCCAAGAAGATTCAGCAATTCATTATCTTTTTTTCCGCTGTCTCATTCCAATTCCTCCGACATAACCTCAACTTTCCCTCCGGAAAAATCAATTCACAAGGCTTTTCAGCCGAGTGTAATACGTATTTTTTTTAAGAACATTTATGGATTTCATAAATTTCAATACCTCACTGATGTCACAACTCAGGAATGCATGATCAGTTTATCCAAAACGGAGTTCCACGTTAGCTTACCCCACTACTGATTTTCTCAACATACTACATGTTTGTGAACCATAGGATATTTGAGCGAACTGACAAACGAAGAGCTCCTAAGTAGTCTAGTGATTGTCATTCCTCGCAAGTTTAATTTCCATCAGATCTTACTGAACAAAATAGGCGGGATTTTGGTCCGACTTTGCTTTTAGCAGTTGAGCTTTATTATCGGGAGTGGTTATCTCCAGTCAACTGGTTGCGTCAGAACAGATGGCGATATTTTTGGTGCGGACGTCGCAGCTTACTACGGTTAAGCTTTTACATATCAGGGAAAAACTTCGTATAACAAAAAAAAAGATAAAGGTTGGGGCAAAACCCCGCATAATAATGTGGAATGTCGGTATGTCCAGCTTCAATAGGGATTATACGAGGTAACCACAATAAAAGGGCCTACGAGAAAGATGTTCTAGTGGTCGTAATTATGACTTGAAAGGCGTTTAATAAGTCACCATCAAGATTAGAACATCCAAAAACTATGAATTATCTATAAAAAGACGCACAATTACCCAAATATATTTCTAAACAGATCTTTTTCACTTCTTTTCTTTCCCCTATTGAACACGGGGAGCTAGTGACGTAACCAACCCTCAAATGGCGATAGCAGATTAGAGCAGCCCCAGCGCATCAAAGATGTAGGCTAGAATCGAGAAATGGACCACCACAACTACGGGTTCCCCGATATCCACAAAAGAAAAGGCGAGCCAATAGGGCGTACGTTTACCACGAGGACCTCCCCCCGTTGGTTACAGGGGGTTGGCCGGAATCATGACGTCAACCCAGCACCCCATATCAAATGAAAGTTATGAGAAAGCTTCCAGGAATCTGCACAATTCAACAGATGATTTCTTGTCATCCAAACCGGTCTCCAGTCTCAAAGGTTCCATGCCATTTGACACGGGAGTTTTCTAATTAACAATAGTTATCAATCGCCGAAGAACTCCCACACTGCATGGGCCGTAAACGTCACAAAAATGCGTAAGTATAGTACTATTGACATTAGAAGAACATTAATTAAAGAAGGGACGATGCGCGATCGTCCCGTCTTTTTCTCAAAAACTTCTCCGATACCTGAAGAAAAAGGGGGTGAGACCAATATCAGGGCACTCCCTCCAGAAAGATCCCGTCTAAATGCACTGTTAAACATATGAAGATGCCTCGCACCACACCTGAAAACGGTGGATGGCGAAACATCAATACGCTAACGGTCGTAGGGGAGCCACGTCAAATCCCTATATAAAGGACGGTTTTTCGTCAAATCAGAGCAGTCTAAATTGATTCTTCCGATCAAAATCTTTAACAGTGGTACCATGCACGTTATCCAGCTGGTTCTCCAAAATCCGTCTACAAGGAATCAGCTCTGCGGGACCACTCTGTGACGGGATTACTGGCCCTAGTCTGATGTACAGCTTGACTCTTCTCGTTAAGCCAGCTCGTCTGAATTATTTCTACGAAATCTGCTAGCCTGGATTAGTTTCCGGTGGCAGTCTGTTAGTTCACTCGACTCTTCTAGATCCGTCTTTGAGGAAGCAGCTTTACGGGATGACTCTATTGCAACGACTGACCTCTAGTTTTAGTGGACAGCTCAAATCTTCTGGTTATATCAGGTCGTCTGCAATTATTCAGCGGAAATCAAGCCGTCATCTGCACCCGATCTCTTCAAAGTGGTTTCCTGCTTGTTGTCTAGTTGATCCTCCAAGGAGAGATCAATTCGGCAAAACCATCTCTTTTTCCCAATACATGCATCATCCCGAGAGTCCAGCTCAGGATAATTCTCGTCAACCACACTGAGCGAAAAACTGATTTCCTAGGAACGTCGTCGAGTTTGGCTCAAACCGGACCGTTCTTGGCGTCGAATTTTCTTGACCGAAAATTGATTAATTTTGAACCGAACTATCCGTGGATTCTGTTAAACTTATTCATGCTAGAAGCAATCGAGTGTATAAAATATGGAGTATTAATATGCTCTCAATCACGTTTTTGATTGCTAGAAGAAATTCTGTCTTTGGGATAACACTCTGAGTTTACGGGAAAGACAATCGGGTTTGGGAACAACTCATTGAGTCTGAAATTTCTGCCAAAACTGGTTGAGTTTCTGAGGAACTTGAATTGGAGTTAGGGGAAAATAAAACTATTTTGGGAAGAAATTTGCTCTAAAGAGGGATCTGATCAAAAAAATAGTTTCTCATAAGAATATTATAGTTTCACCTAAATCTACTGAGTATTAAATTCAAACTTCTATAATAGGAAATTCCAAGCGATATTGAAGTCTCATCTTGTGGGAAAACAAAACGTTTTTGAGACCAGCAATCGATAGACTGCATGAACCCTCTTTTTCTTATTTGCAAATTGATAAATATATACTCGAAGTGACATTTTCGTTGTAAACTTGATCAGATCGGTGAAGAAAGGAAATTCTTCCTGTAAAAAAAAATATTCTTCCTGGAAGGACGGATTTTCTTAGTTCAAACTGTACGGTACTTCAAAGAAGGAAAACGCTTCACTCCCAGCAATCGCACATTAAATGATGAGAGAGGATGGGAGCGGATGGGACTCAAGGTGCGCTTCAGGTGTTACGGTAATTGAAGTGATCGACTGCTTGGGTCCATTTTTTTAAAGATTTGCGACGAAATCACTGCCGGAGTGAACACAAGAATGTGAAGAGTCTTATTTACTTCTGAGAATTCTAATTTATAATTTGATACTATCATCATTGACTTTAGATCAGAACAATAAAAGTGAACAACAAGTTTTCACATTTTGTATTATTATTTCAATATTCCTTGTAATTAATCATGAATCATGCCACAAATTCTGGTAAATAATATTTAGTCTCATTCCATAATCTGGGAGGCTGAGTTACAATCGACGATTGTCGTGGATGCTAGCCGGATCCTTAATCTGTAACGATAAAAAGCATTTTAAGATAATTCTTCTGTTTACTTTGACAAGACGTTACATAATCAAGATAGGTCTATTGTTGCACTGCAGGAAGGAATGCCATGGCATTCCAGAGGTTAGACTCAGATGGTGATGGACGTGAATCATTGGTATGAACATACATTTTGTAATGATTATATCGCCATGTCAATAATTCTTCCCATCTTTGTTTGACGTAAGCAAAGAAAAGATATTCGTCTGCAAAAAGAAAATTGCAATTTTATATATAAAATCATGAATTTCCCATACAAATTAGGCTTCATCCTAGAATCATTTATTACTCGGAAAACGCTCGCTGCAGTCGATACTCAGGATCAGTACAACTTGCTGAAACGCAGCATCCACCCAAAATCCAGTATCCATTGAAGCATCTTCTCGCCAAATAATGTCATACTCGCTTATAAGCGACAATAATTCTTGATCAAATGCAGATAAAGCCATAATCCCTGTAAGAAGAAGTTTTAGTTCGAATCAGAAAAATTTTGGGTTCAAGTATAGTCAAATTTGAGTCAATATTTTTTTATACTCCAAACTTAAGTCGGTTGAAAAATTTTTATTTATTAGAATTGAAGGAAAAAAACAGATTAAAATAAAAATGCAGAAGAATGTTCAGATTCCCTAGATTGTATAAATACATCCTGAGTTTAATCAATAATTTTTTTTTCGTTTACTCTCCAAAACCGATGAACATTGAAACCAATTATTTCGTGACGCAAATCTCTTGCTATTCTTGAGTCAATGATTGCGCTTCTTTAACCGAAAGAAACCCTTATTTGCCAGAAGAAACAGTTTTCTTCTCTTGAGAATAGATTCCTTCCGGTCAAACTTGAGCTCGAATGAATGAATATTGAGATTCGTATCTTCATACATATCATTTTTAATTTAGTGTGCACATTTCTGAGCTATTTTTTCATTAATAAATGTTTAGTTTACAGTGGTAAAATGACGTTGGTGAAAAAATGTGGAGTTGACATTTTTGTATACATCTCAGAAGTTTCGAGATTTAAGTCAATTTACTAAACCGCTTTCTTTGTAAGGAATTCAAGGGGAACCTCGTGGGAATTTTTTGGAGCTATAAATATTCTGTAGTTCTACTTGAATTTAATTCATTACGGCTATCATATGAAACAATGCGAATAATCAATAAAACATGCAGATGGGTTTCAAAATCGGTACCTATTTCAAAATCCGTATACTAACTCTAATAACAATAATAAGAAAAATAAAATGTATGCTACTTACACCCGACTCTTCGTAGCTTCAGCTCTCACAACTGCGACTGTGGTTTCGTCGACCGCTCAACGATGAATGCTGGGATTTTTTCGAAACAGTCCATATAGACGTTTTAGTAGCGTTTTATGCAAGAATTTTTTTTCTGGCACGAAATATAAAATAGTTTCTCATAAAACGAATTATTCTACGAAGACCCATTAGAACCGTCGACCTGGACTCATGACACTATATGATCTATCGCGAGAAACATCGTGTTTCACTCAATCAAATTATAGTTTGTCACCAGAATGACAATCGTTTGATTTGGCGTAATCGGCCGAGACGGTCCGGCCGTAACAAAAAAACGTATATTGGGGAACGCAGACCGATATCTCACAGTGTGCCCTCAGTCTTTGGACAGTATACACTGACTATTGAATCGATCTGGAATGGAGCAAACTGAAATTGCAACGCTCCTTCATCAATGGGATTTGGTAAAATACGTCACAGTATTTGAGGGTAAGCACAAGTAATTTATTAATTTTAGATTTTTAAGTGACCCATCTGCCATTCCAGGCTAGAAAGTTATTGGAACTCTTACATTATTTCTCGTAGATTGCCCGGATCTTATTTTATTTATTTCATATTGGCTATGCGAAAACAATGCGAGAAATGAACCGTGATGAATAATGATTAATTTGTGAAAATAATAAATGTTTAGTTCGGAGAATACGATCCATTTTTAGGGAAACAAAAACCTATTCGGCAGTTCGACGAAAAAACAGTTGATATTTCTTGACCATGGGGCTAGAGCTTGAGTTCTCCCAATTCCGAGAATTCGTTGTTGAGGAGTATGAAAAGGAGAAAGGAAAAAAAACTGTTCGCATTTGTTTTACTTCGAACACTCGCTTGAATTTTCACTTCGTTTATTTATAATTGGAATATGTAGTTTTCATTTTCGGCTTAGACGAAAAATTCTATCATTTAATCCCCTTTTTTAATACAAAATGGTTTCGTTGATCAAACTTCGCTCGCAAAATTAACTCCATTAACGATCAAAGAATTAATTCCCCGCATGCTTGATCGCCTTACATTTGAAGAGAGATGGAGTGCATGGTGGATTGAAAGGGTATGTTTGTATTGAGTATACAATTAATACCCATGAAAAACTCATAAACTATTTACTATGAATTAAAGGTTTGCAGTCATTAAGCATACGGTGATTGCACTGTTGTGTAAAAAAATTACCTCCTGCATTTTGCTATTGCATCGAAAAACAATCCAAATATAGTAAAATTATTTTTTCAAGTTTTGCTTAATTTTAGATATGAAATTTGCCAGAATTGTCTTGAAAAGTTATAAAAAATGTCAATTGATTTCTACTTCATATAAATTCTATACATATTTGAAAGAAATATTCATTTTGCTTAAGTGATATATATTCAAATATATTATTAGTGTGAGAAATATAGCTACACTAGATTCAATCGAACGTTAGACACCATTTTTATCGTAGCCTCCAAGTAGAATTATATTACGAAGTCTCGTTCTCGATGATAGTTATATATTGTAGTCATGCTTGTCATGCTCACATCACAACGTTTTTAGAGTAAGGATAAGATTTGAAACCGGCCCATCTCCTCCTGGTGTCCTCTTATCGCCAACTTCATATTGTTTTGTTGTGTCGACGCGGCAACACGTTTTTCCGTCGTTACACTCAGAAAATAAATAATTTAAACAATCCGGATGTCAGATCGTAAGAAAAATGATCAAGATCACGCTCAAGATCTAGGAAAAGTCATCACAGAAACAGAGATGACGGAAGATACGATAAATTACAAGAGCAGATTTCCAACCTCACATCGATTGTAGAATCCCTGGCGAAGTCTAAAAGAGAAAATTCACCAGTTCAACAAAGAGGTAATGATTCTATAATCCAGAAAGGTAAGAAAAATAACTTTTATGGATATCACTGATCACAAAGCCAATAGCTCTACCATTCCACACGAGGGTAGAGAGCCATGGGTCCATACGAGCCTGGCAGGGGTTTTTGCGATTGTAGAGTTCAACAAGAAAAATCAACACATCGCACACAATAAGTGTCCCCTAGTCATCTTCTCTTCTATAATTCTTCTTTCTCTTTTTTTTTTTATTCCCCTTGCAGATGAGAATAAAGAGAATAGAGAAGAATTTGTAAATCTTCCACAAGTTGATGACAAGGCTTATGAGTCAGGGAATCTCACCGAGGAGTCTCAACCAGGGAATAATCCCAGGGATACGGTACTCAAGGCTTTGGGGGTTGATATTAATGACTCTAATTTCAAAAAGGTGAAATATCACCCGGAATTGACTAATACATGGGGAAAGTGGATTAAACATGGACTCCCTGAGAAGAATAACTCTGAAATCTTGGGACTTTACAACAGAAAAAATGAGTTACATCTGGAAGCTCCAAAATTAAACCTCGAGCTTGTTCCAATGCTTACCGACATTGCCAAGAAGAGAGACCAGCATTTTGTCGATACTCAAAACTGTGTAGGCACAGCTTTGGCAGCCTTGGAGGCCGCACTATCGATGATTGTTGATCCTCCTGAAGAAGGAATAGATCAGGAAATTCGCACGGATTATCTGAGTCATGCTGGTCAAATGATGTCAGACGTCTTTCACCAGCAATCAGTCGCCCGTAAGCCCTTCATCACTCCACAAATGGATAAGAGCATAAAACCAGCGGTTGAAGACATGATCTCAGAGGATTGGCTGTACGGTGAGAACCTTGCGGACAAAGTAAAAAATGCCAAGGAAATTGAAAAGGCATGTGCTCAAATCAAAGATAAATCCAAAAAAGATTCATTCAAATCTCAGGATCAGGGAAACTCAAAATACCCGTCTGCGGCCTACAAGCAGACAGGGCATTTTCAAAACCACGTTTCATCAAGATGAAGAAGAGATCTTTCCAGAGAACTCCCCGGGGCTCTTTCCAGGGCCCATCACCAAACGCACCACAAAATCCACCCAAGACTACTCCTCAGACGATGACCCAGTCGTCCTCCAGGAAATAAAACAGGTAATGAAAATAGCAGGCAGACTTTCCCACTTCAGACAGAACTGGGAAAAAATTACAGAAGATAAATTTATTTTAAATTGTTTGAGAGGATTCAATATCCAATTCATAACAACTCCAATACAGGAGTCTCCAACAAAAGCACGAATATTTCCCGAAAGAGAAGAGAAAATGATTCAGCTAGAGATTGAAAAATTATTGTTAAAAGGTGCAATTGAACCTTGTACTCCATGTAAAGGCCAGTTCGTTTCTACTTTCTTCCTCACCCCTAAACCGGATGGGTCTCTTCGTTTTATATTTAACTTGAAGAAATTGAACAAGTTTATAAAGGCTCCTCACTTTAAATTAGAAGATACCAAGGTTGTCTTGAGTTTGATTTCAAAGGGTGATTTCATGGCAACATTAGACTTGGAAGATGCGTATTTTGTTGTACCAATGCATGAAAACTTTAAAAAATTTTTGAGATTCGAATTCAAAGAGAGACTTTTCCAATTTTGCTGCTTGCCTTTTGGGTTATCAATTAGCCCTTTCATTTTTACCAAAATTATGAAACCAATTATTAACATATTAAGAACTAAAGGCATATTCGCGGTCGTCTACTTGGATGATTTCCTTTTCCTCAGTAATTCGAAAGTTTCGTGCGAACGAAATATAAAAGAAGGTTTAGAATTATTAGAAAAGCTAGGTTTTCTCATAAACTTCAAGAAAAGCTGTTTGTCTGCCAGCGAAGATGCAAGTTTCTCGGTTTCATTTTTGATTCTCAAAAATTCACACTAAATCTTCCGGAAATCAAGAGGTATCAAATTGTCGATTTATGTAACCACTTCACAGTGGGCAATAGATACAAAGTCCGAGTTTTCGCAAGCTCCCTAGGAATTCTAGCAGCGGCGTGCCCTGCAGTTGCATATGGTTTACTTCACACCAAAAGATTGGAACGAGAAAAATTTCTAGCCTTAAGGATAAATGGAGGAGACTATGAAGGAAATATTCTTCTCAGAGAGAAGATCAAAGAAGATATTGATTTGTGGCAAGCCAATGCGTTAATTGCTTCAAATCCCATAAAAACTTACGATTTTTCACGAGAAATTTTCTCCGATTCTTCACTGACAGGTTGGGGATGTTTCTATGATGGCCAGAGTACTTTCGGTTTTTGGGACGTGGAAGAAAGTAAGAAACACATCAATTTCCTTGAGTTACAGGCTGCCTTCTTTGCTTTAAAATGTTTCGCATCAGATCTATTTGAATGTGAAATATTACTTCGATTAGATAATACGACAGCCATTGCATATGTGAATAAGACCGGATGGATCCAATATCCCCATTTGAGTGAACTTTCACGCGAGATTTGGGAATGGTGTGAGAAAAGGAAAATTCGATTAAGGGCTTCATACATTCGATCAGCTGACAATGTAGAAGCAGATGCGGCATCTCGCTATTCTAATATAGATACAGAATGGAAGATATCTTCCAAAGTTTTCGCCTGCGTCGTCAACCATTTCGGTCCATTCTCTATCGATTTATTTGCTTCTAGAATCAATAGAAATTGTGAAAGATTTTACTCTCGATTACCTGATCCAGCAGCGGAGGCCGTGGACGCTTTTACAAAATCATGGCGAAACGAATATTTTTATGGATTTCCTCCCTTCTCAGTTATCCTCAAAACACTTAGAAAGATTGTTAATGAAAATGTAGAAGGAGTATTAATTGTACCTCTGTGGCCCACACAGCCGTGATACGCACTTTTCATGTCCCTACTTATGGAACCGCCGATTATCTTCAAGCCTGACCCGTCTCTTTTATCTTCTCCTTTCAGACAAACTCATGCATTATCATCCCACCTTTCATTGGTGGCAGGGAAATTATCCGCTCCAGCTATTTACAGAGAGGTGTCCATAAAGATTCGATAGAGACCATGATAAATGCCAATACAGATTCAACAATTGAACAGTATGAAGGTGCTTTAAAGGCGTGGTGGACTTACGCTCATATAAACAAATTAGACCTCTTTAATGCTA